AATTAAAGACCGGTTGCAAATGAATTAAGATTCAAGTTAATCAATAGCCTGATATCCGATTTTCACCACGACAACAGCTATTGAAGGATATGTCGACTCTGATTATTTAGGTTGTATGGATTCCAGAAAATCTATTTGTGGATATGTGTTCACTATGTTTGAGACAACAATCAGTTGGAAAGCTACACTTCGAAAGGTCGTTGCCTTATGAACCACTGAAGCGGAATATATCACCCTAACTGAAGCTGTGAAGGAAGCATTATGGCTTAAACATTTTGCAAAGGAGCTGAAACTTCAAGGTCGAGTTATCACTGTTAAATGTGATAGTCAAAGTGCAATACACCCGTCGAAAAATTCAACCTATCATGAGTGAACCAAGCACATTGATGTGAGGTTGTATTTCGTTAGAGGGGTAATCGAGCATGGAGAAGTCCAAGTGCTGAAGGTTTTGACAGATCATAATACTGCTTATATGATCACCAAGATGTTGCCCAGTTACAAGTTTTTCACTGTATGCAGTTGATAAAGCTGCATGAAGAAAGCTAGTTTCTTGATGATATGGAGTTAGATCCAAGGTGGAGATTTGTGAGATATTGGATCAAACTCTAGTATGGTCAAAGTATGTTCACGAGCAATGTGTGTTGTAGTCGAAGTTTGTTCTAACATGTATTAGCCAATATTGTTAGGTTTGTTAGCATGTTGAATTGGGCCTTGCTTGTAAGCCCAATTGTTTAAGTTAGTTTGTACCCTAAGTTAGCTTGTAATGGATAATTGTTAAAAAGCCCATTAGATTAGTGTGTTATTTTTCTTATAAATAGCATGCCAATCTCTCATCTTGCATAAGGAAACATAGGAAGATAAAATCCTAATTCAAGAGAGAGAGGTTATTTGTTATTCTTGTATACTTGTAATCTTGTTTGATAGATAAAGGAAAGAATATCAATTTATAACCAATCCTTGTTGTTTCTTCTTGTTCTTCTTGATTGTTTTCTTTGTTAATCCTAACTCTTGTGTGTTTCTTGAATATAATGAAATTGTTTATATTTTGTTGCAAGGTATTTTATTCACAATAGATGCATTATGCAAAACAACACAACTTTTATTCAAACTGTTTCTGGTGCATAATGGACACATGTGGAACACAATGCTCTAACATGTGTATTGCAACATCTGGTCTTTGGCAACAGATAGGTGGTACTGCAGTTTTGGTTCAGAATTATTCTATCTAAGATTCACTCTACAAAGAAGATCTACAATTCATGGAGAAGAGTTAATTTGGATGTACTGGTGCAACATGTGGAAAACAATGTTTCAGCATGTGTGCAATGTAGCATTTAGCCTTGGTCAGCAGGCAATGATGAATGTTACTAGGTGTGAAATTTCTAATTAAGATTCAGTTTGATTTATTAGAGATTATTTAGCAACATTTATTTGATTTGTTTGAGAGCTGCTGAAGTTTAAATCATATTTAAATGGATATTTAAATTTGAATATGAATATAACAAATAATATATTTTGGAGATTTTTATGAAGCATATCGAATCCGACAAGATTCAACTATTATTCTAGACGAATTAAATGTAGAACCCAGGGAGAAAAATCCTAGAAGACGTTGCTATATAAGGATACTCAATTATCATGTTTAGGTGGAAGTTTTATGCACAAAATTAAGTTCTTTGTGCATAGGGTTTTTGATTATGTTATTTCTTGTATTCCACATTAATGTTCTATTAGTGTTGAATCTATTTGTGTACACCACTCTATATTTCAGTAACTTAGCATAGTTGTTGGTTTGTCTTATTTGAGTTGTAAATTCAACAATCAATAAAGTTATTGAAGTTGATCACTAGGGGTTAGTGATTGAGAGAAAGTGATAGGGGTTTTCATATTTAGGGGGAGTTCTAAATAGAAAGTCACTAGGATTAGGAAGAGGCATTCAACATCGTGGGGTTGATGTTCCTATAAAACTAATTGAATTCAGTCAAAGTAATGAATTTCCTTTCTTGGGTAGAGTGCCCTCAGACGTAAGTGTGGTGCCACCAAAATTGGTTACCAATCTCTTGTGTTACTTTATTGTTTTCTGCATTGTGTTAATGTCGTTGTTATATTGATATCTTACTGGTTTAACAAGTTGGACCAGTTGTCCCAACATCATGTCCAACATTTATTCCCCTATGAACATAATTTTACAAATGAAAACTGCAACAAAATGAGAAACGAGACACCTCCTCACAAAGATAAGATTAGAACAACGAAATCATAAAAATAAAAAATTAACAAAAAATTTTAATTTAAGAAATTAATTATTTGACTAAAAAAGTGAGTGAAATAACTAAATTTGTATGTGTATGTTATGATATATTGGTGTAAGGTTCAATGGTTACATCTTTGCCAACAATATTTCTCTATTGTGTGTGTGTGTGTGAGAGAGAGAGAGGGTGTTACATTCTCTAGTAATAGCATATTAAAATACTTATTTTAAAATTTAGATTCATAAAGATGTATAATGCCATTAGAATATTCTTGCTATAATCACTAATGGATGTTGTAGCTAATCATAGAGATCTGATTAGTGGATAAAATGTGTATATAATAATTAGGAATATTTTTTTCCTTAAATTAGAATATTTCCTATTTTGTGTAAAGTAAGTTGTATCTATAAGTTCCCCTTTCTTGGCAGATGAAAGCGATATACAAAAATTGTTATATTGTAAGTTTTTCCATGGTATAAGATCAGGACTGATCTTTCCTGTAGCTAGAAAAAAATTCAAACATGTTTTGTTCTCCATTTCTGTGTTTTTCCATCACATTACTTAATAGAAACCCCAAACAACCCTAACTTAACCAAAACAAACCACTCACCCTCACCTAAAACAAATCACTAACCCATTGAAAAACTAAACCACACAGCAAACCCACTAACTCCAATTATTGTTCATAAGAAAAGTATGTCTTTCCAAACAGTGTTATCCTAGATGAGACCAATTACCCATTTTGGTCTCAACTCATGGAAATGTGTATCAATGCCACAACAAAGTTGGGAAATTGACCGGAAAAAAGAAAAAACATGCACTCGGAGGTTCAAACCTTGGATCATGGATTACATATAATCACATTGAAAATTTGGTTGATTGACTCAATGAGTCTGTCACTAATGCGACGATTTATTTGCCTTCCCCCAGCGCATGAAATTTGGGATGTTTTTTCGAAAACTTTCTATGACCACCTGACATAACTTGCCTCTTCAAATTGAATCACCAGTAAGTTCCAACCAAAAAATGGTCGAGTCTTATCGACCTATTATAATGAACTTGTTGCATTTTTTAGGAAATTGATCACGTGGCTACTTCTCAAGAAGGAACTGTTGAAATTATAGTCAATCTACATTGTGAAATGGCTAGGCTTTTAGTTCATATATTTTTGAATGGCGTTGATTCTAATTTTGGTCAGATTCGTGGGGAGATATTACAAAAAGATCCAAAGATTTACTTAGAGTATATATATATATATATATATATATATATATATATATATATATATATATATATATATATATATATATATATATATATATATATATATATATATGTATGTATGTATGTCGGGCCGTGAAACTAAACAGTGGCGTACAATTGGAGGCTCTCGTTCGATCTCTAATAACTCTGCTATGCTAACCAATAATACTCTCTAGCTTGTTTCTTCTTCAAGAATCACAACACTCAACCTACTATAAAGTCCAACAGCTTGGTTTGAACTCACTGTGGTGAAACTGATCATTCAATGCAGCAATATTGTGAATAATTGTAATACTCCGCTTACTTTTGTCTTGAATGGTGAAAATTTGCATCAAATCTGAATTTTGTTACCCCTACTTTGAAAAAATCAAAAAATTTCTCAGTTCTACATATATAGCACTAACAACAAGATTATAAACAACCAGGAACATATCAGATACGTACAAATAATGAAGAGATGAATCAGTTTTCTAAATGGAGTTTCAATACACTTGATACCTCACATGATTTGCGTATTCTAATAGATAGCAATCCTCTTACGACAATCATTGATATTCCATATCTTCCTATTTTAGATAATACAAGTGAGGTATTTTTTTTCTTCAAAAAGATAAAATAAAATCCATGCTTGATATGATAAATGAATATGTGTTTGGATTTATTTTTCAAGAAAGAAAAATATATTTGAGTTTTGATAGTGTGTATTCTCCCAATTCATACAATGATTTGGTCAATGACATTCACACTCCATAATTCTTGAACACAATTAATATTTTAGACTTCCAAACCACAAATTGAAATTTAAATTTGTAGGGCCATTAATGTTATTAAGAAATATTGATCCGTCTTTAGAATTGTGCATCAAAACTTAATTGATAATTATAAAGATAGAAAAAATATATTATTGAAGGAAAGGTGATTTCAAGGAGTAACTTCAGTTATATGATCGTTATTCATCGATTGTTCTTGACACCACCCGATGTGAAAAATTCTTTCAAATTTCAATAAAGACAAATTCTATTGAGTGTTTTTTTTTAATGACTATTAATAAAAGTCAAAGTCAATCAATTAAATATGTTAGAATTTATATTCCTTCTTCGTTGTTTTTGCACAATCAATTATACTTAGCAATTTTAAGAATCACTTAGAAAAAGAATTGAAATTGTTTATAACTATTGAAAATTGGCAATGTACTAATCCGCCATCAAATATTTTATACAAGAGAAGTTTTTAAAATTTTGAGACATAAATAATATAAACATTTGTATCTTGTTTTTTCTATACAATAAATTCAAATCTATCTATACTTATGCGAATATGCGAATGTTAATAAAGTGTTGTCATAATATAACAAATCCTAACAATATAGTTTTAATTCAAACCTAAAACATCTACTTAAGCCAAATGAAACTCAAACCCTATTAGATTTACAATTTGCTTCATTTCTTTGTTTATTTAACATAAATGATCAACTTTTATTACTAATCAAACATTCACAGATAGGATACACTTTACCAACCCATTTAATGCATCACATGAAGAACCACTCAAAGCCAACCTAATCTCATGCTTCAATTCAATTGCTCTTTTCCTCAATTCCTCCCCTTCTTGATTCACCATAAGTCTTCTAACCACCTTTTCAATCTCATCTCTTTTCATGACATTACACCATTCCCAACCCACCTTCCAAACATAGCTCAACAATCTAGCATTTACCCTTTGATCTCCAAAATAAGGTTGACAAATAATTGGTACTCCTTCACACAAACTCTCCAATGTTGAATTCCAACCACAATGACTCCAAAAACCTCCAACAGCTTCATGTGCCAAAACCTCACTCTGAGGTGCCCATTTCACAACACAACCTCTCTCTACTACACCTAGTTTAACATCTTCCGACAACGATTCTAACCACGCGGAAACATCCGTAACTGTCTCGGGTCGAATAACCCAAAGGAAATTTTGTCTGCTCTTCACTAAGCCACAGGCCATTTCAGTTAGCTCTTTCTCTTCCCAACTAGCAATGCTCCCCAAGCTTACATATAAAACAGATTTTCTTGGTTTGTTGTTTAGCCAAGATATACAATTATCCTTTTCTCGCAGAATGCTGATATTATCAAACTCACTGGCAATCATGTGAAGAGGGCCTATGGGGAAGAGATTAACATTATATAGATGTTGAAGATGATTTAGAGATGAATCTTCTAAGCTTTCAACAGTGTTGAATATAACACCTAAAGGTGTTATTGAAAGCGTTTTAGATATGCCATGTAGAAAATCATGTGGATTTTTTAAATTAGAAATAGGTAAATCTTTGTATCGCAGCATCTCCAACTCTGGTACCAAATCCGATGACTTGGAATCTGTCATGTAACATGTTAATATAAATAATTAAGTTAATAAAATAATTGCCCCAAAACTATAATGAAGGAGTCTTAGAAATAAACAGAAATAGATTATGATTAATTGAAGTAGGACTAGTTTGTTAAAGATTTTAAATAAAAAAAGTGATTTTTTTTCTTTCAAGTTACTGATGTTCTTCATGGGATGTGATAGTAACAATTGCATTAGGGGTTAATGGATATGATGCTGAAATTAAAAAAATTAAAAATAAAAATAGTAAAAGAAGCCGCACATGGTTTGCAACTAACCATGAAAACTGCTGTTTTTTTATGACCACATTCAAGGATTATCCCACTAAACTTAGGAAGAAGAAGAAGATTTTTCAATAAAAGCTAGCAAATTTATAAGTGAAAAATTTTAGTAACCGATTATATAGTCTCTAAATAAGTCATAAAATTTTAATATTACACATTATCATCGGTTATATTAATGGAAATTTCAGTCGTTATTGACATTTAGATAGAAAATACTAGATAGTTTTGAAAAATTAAATGATAGAAATAATATTTTTCAAAATAATGTAATCAAAATATTAGAGAAAGTAAGATATAAGACAAAAAAGATATTATACAAAATTTTTACATACTCAATATTATAATTTTTAAAAATAATATATTTCAAAAATTACTTTTTTGAATAATTATTCAAAATAATTTTAAATTCAATTGATTTTATAAAATTTTAATATAAAATAAGTAATAAAAATCGTAAAATACAAACTATTTGTACTAACCCTTAAAGGAGCCACAACGACGTGGTTCAAAGCTCTCCGAGACGGAAATTTAAACTCTCTGTGAAAACTTTGCGGCTCTTTTACTAGCCAATTCACTGCTCGAAAGTGACAACCCACTATGATAGCCATTCTTATTAGATAAGTAAAAAAAGAAAGAGACCCAATGGAAGTACATTTATTGGTTCACCAAAGTAGTAATATAATTGGGGGAGAACAAACAGCGAATTAAAGTGCAAGATATTTAAAAAGGAAATGAGACAAGATTGTATGTTCCGCAAGAAGATAGGGCCAGAAAGAGGATGTAGATTAAACGATCTTTTGACTGAAACCTAAGCCTACATCAATTATGAGAAAGAACTCCTAGACGAAGAGGTGGAAAGGGGCCGGGGAGCAGAACACCTAAGAAACAACTGGGGATCGGAAATAGATAACAATTGTTGTCGGGACGATGGAGACTGAGGGCTTCGAGCAAGGTTCTCGCCGTATACTCCCTTCAAGACTTCATGGGAGAACATTCTAAAGGATTGCGCAAGCACCGAATTTATGGAAGTTGGGATAAGAAACTTCTACCAGGTCTAAGAATTCGCCTGAACCTAATAGACAAGATATTGTCGTTTTCATTAGAGTCATGACTGCAACACTAATGGATTTGAAGGGCATGTTCAAGGATTTGATCTAGAAAGGAAGACTCACCTGGTACACTTAGAAGGACGGTCAAAAGATGGTTGAGAAATAAAGAAAATAAGAAACAATTCTCCTATTGGGAAAAAGGGTCCCGTAAAAAAAAAAACTAATGAGGTTGTAGGCGGGACCAAAGAGGAGAAAGATAGTAGCAATAAAGAAAACAAATACTGAAAAGTAATGAACCAATCCATAACATCCATTACTAGAGGTATTCCCAGGCCAAGGAACCCATCCAACAACACCGTCAAGAGTTGAATCGTTGGCTAAAGTTCGTCAACACATAAGGAAAAGCAACTTCTGAAGGGAAACCATAGAGGTATATCCTTGAGTTTTACGATAGCGAAAAAATGGGTGGAACCCAAGTAAAATATTTCCCCTAGTAATAACTACAACCACTATCAACTTCGATGTGTTGAGAATCGTCATAGATATGGGAAGCTCATGTGACATCATGTATGCGGAGCTTTTCGAGAAGCTCGGGTTGAAGATAGAAAAGTTATCTCCATAGGAAGACTCAAACCTACAAGCCTTCAAAGGAACGATAAATCACCCCTAGAGGTACATCAAACTAATGGTCACATTCGGAGAAGGAAGAAACACCATAACAGTTGAACTTCAATTTTTGATAGTTCCCTGCAAGAGTGTCTACAATTACATGCTAGGTCGGCCCTTCACGACAATAGTGGACATGGTGGCTCCTCGATCCATTTGAAGATGAAATCTTAAAACTTCCACAATGAGTTGGTAACAAAATGTGATTATCTATCCAAATCCCAAAGGATACACAAAGCATTATAGTGCGATAGAGGTTGAAAAGGAGAAGTGAAATGGAGATCAACATGGCCTCCCTCGTCAAACTATTAGGGGAAATGACGATTGGCCATCAAAGGAAGGGATTGATACTCCCATCAGATATACCATAAATTAATCTAAAAGTGATAATTTCAAAAGACGATGGAAAAAAAAAGGTTCAAGTCGGCTACAATATACCGCATTGGGAGGCCCGAGATCTATAAGTAGCGACATAGTTCCTTGATTCAATATCCCTATTCAATACATGTAAAACTTGTTTCACAATATTATGTAACACTTACTACTTTGCAATAAATAACATTTTTCCAAATTTCTATCCTTTATGATCACAAAGGATGTACACGACTAAGGGATATTATCACAAACATCGTAGGTGTATGACTAAAAAAATAAAAACCCCATAACGAAAGTCACGGGAATAAAGGCAATAAACCATGAAATAATGTGGTGATTAGGGATCACTCTCTTCTTGGTAACTAGCAAATATAGATAGAAAAGGTGAATTCCCAACATGTAGGCCTTGAACCAAGTTCAAACATGGGAGTAGGGAAGGGGTATCGACCCTAAGACATGTCTAGTCCCCAGATACGTCTAATAAATTTTTCGAGCACGACCTTGGGTGTTAGCCATTCTAGTAAAAAAAAGTCAAGACTCAAGGAAACACAAATAAAAGGTAAAAATAAGGGTAAGAAAATAATGATCGAGCAATAAATAGAAGCAATAATGAAGAATTTTTCTTTAGTCAAAAAGTATTACACCAGGCAGCATCACCCCGGAAAATAATACTATAAGTCAGAGCCAATATTAACTGACCTTCCATCCATCATCTCTTGGCCAAGGAAAATTTGTTCCCTTGATATTTGCACCCTAGGAAGGAAAAATTCCACTTCCCTCAATGCTTTATTAAAATAAACTTAGAGAATGGAATAACTATCTTTCACCGACTAGGCATACTCTTCACATAGGTGCATGTTGCACATCTCATGATAGTCCTCTTGAACCTTCTTCCAACCTTTCTGAGCTTCATTCAAAGATATTTCCAACGCTCGACTAAAACAACCTTAGTTTTGGATATTCTGCTAGAGCAGATGAAAAAGCGATGTCCTTCCCATTTGTCTCTAGGGCCAATAAATGCACCTTTTCATCCAGCAGATGAGGATGCCCAAAAAATTGTATCACATTTCCTATATCCATTAACAAACCACTCGTCTTTGTAAGATGCTTCAAAAAATGGTTGTGCTCGATAGAAAAAACATTAACACATTTCATAAGCGCTTTATTTCTCTTTTCAAATATGGCCAGGATAAAATGTTTCCCCTACAAGTGGGACCAGGCTAGAATAGCCGACACTCGAAGCATTTTATATGACATCTCTATTAGCTCTTCCTGACAAAGACCCTAGTCTTCGTTCAAAAAATAAGTGTAATCATTGTTAGAGATAAAAGATTAGAGTTTCCTAGCCGACCAGAGACCATGATGGGCTAGACACAATAGAGACCGCACACTCGGAGTCATGGTTGAGCATCCCCAAGATCATATCCTCTCAAATATTGCACAGTTTTCTTTTGTCATTCTTCCCTCTACCAGAAGGTGCTTTACGGGAATACCCTCTTGAGGAATTATCATTTGTGGCATATAACAGTGAATGTTGGACACCTCCCACCACATATTAATTGGGGGAACATGATACCTTTGTTCTAGATAGGGTAGCATGGATTAATGAGGTCATAACAACAACGGCCCCCCCATTTGGTGTTCTTTTTAAAGCTTACACATGAACAGTATCTAAGAGCAACAAAGTGACCATAGACGTCCTCCAGATTTGAAATATTATCCTGTGACACTTCATTTTATCTACAAACAAGCAATCATGGAAGTCATGGATACTACCAACAGAGAATTATTAGAGAAAGTAGGGAAATTGATGTGCTACGTATTGGAGATGACAAATTTCTCCTCTCTAGTGGCTGCCTCCACCAGTAATTGCGTCTCTATATACCACTTCTTTTATTTCTTGAACCCTGCCTAGAACGTGTGATGATGTCAAGAAACCCCTAAAATTTTCGATAAGGCCACCGATTTTCTCTTCAAGCTAGTATATTCTTGAGACAAATCTCCTTGTAGATAAACATAAGATCCATCCTCAACCATGAAATGGAAATGATGAATGAACTTTGGGAACCTATCCATAAATTTAGGGGCACCCCAGGTTGAATATCACACATACTTGAGCCACCTCAGTGACAGGAGTGAGCAAGTAGTACCAATCTTTAAAATTATTCACGTTGTTAAAGTATACTTGAAACATCTTCTGAACATGCATAAGGGAGAACAAACATTGACCCTGTGTCAAGTCATCCAAAGGGAATTGAATGTTAAATAGGTGGAAAAAGGGTGTTAAGGTTGACACTTTTTTCTTGTACTCACACCAATATTGAAAGATTTTGATGTAAGCCCAGATCACCTAATGTAGTTGTGAGAGGACGATCACTAGATGATTCAGACAACCTACCACAAAGTCATTAAAAGGAAGGTGAAAATCTATCAAAGAAAAATAAACATTCATCAAGAGGGATGACACACATTTTATATTTACACACTCTTTTATCTTCTTCTGGGGAAAGTACCCCCTCAGTTCGAAAGGGGGCCCTCATTAGTGAAAGCATGGTCCAAATCACCCTTATCAGCAAAGACAAACACATCGTCTAATGTTTCTTGATTCACCCACACAATTGAGTTGTCTCCTAACACATTCCGCGTTACTAAAGTTGCCCATTTCAGAGATATTGTTCACACACAGAAATAACGTCCATGAACATATACACAAGATTGATATTCCAACTACCACCTCACCTCACCATATGTGGGGTGAAGCACAACGATGTGCTTTGATATAAGTCTGAGCCATGCACTCATGTTTGAAATCATCTATAATAATAGGGTTCATCAAGGGAAAGGCAAAAAAACCCAAATTCAAGCAACCTCCCTAGGAGCGAGGCTACCAACTACCCTGCCACAATCGGTCGAAGCTAGTAACTCTGAATCATCCATCACCACCTTTTCGAGAAACCCTAGCAAATTGAAGATAAGTATAGAAGATGAAAGGAATTCAAATTATTTCCTTGAAAGGGATGAATGTAATGATTTGCGCTGAGCAGAATTCGTTTAAGAGGATGATGCAAAAATGTTAGAGTAATGGCCAGTGAAAGACTATTGAGAAAGACAAAGGGCAATCACAAAGAACATAAAAATAGCTCTTGGAGTTTTGCAATTGATAAAAAGAGGAATAGTTACCCATAAACCCTTATATATTCTTCAAGCAATTGTTCAGTCCTCAACAACATTTGTGGAAAAATGTAACCACACCACCAACAATCATGATCTCCTAGTAAAGTCTTCAAAACGCTTGAGTACTCTAAGATAAAAACATATTATTATTGACAGTCCTAGAGCCACACATCGCAACTCCTCTGTAAGGCATTGCAAATTACAAAAAGACATTCAATGCACATGTTCCATATACTACCGGTTTCATAGCTATCTTTCCCATTCAAACAAGGGTTGAGTAGGAGCCCATCTAGAAAAAACCTCATTCTAACTGTTCAAAATAACTCATAAGGGCCATATGTCAAGGCCCAAATACAAGAGAAATAGATATGACGACAGTCAAACTCGGAGCTCACAATTCCGATCTCCTGCCAATTTTCCACCGCCAAATCTAATCAGAATGATGATTCACACGATATGATGGATCAAGCAAGAGCAATTCTAATCGGCCTCTCTATATATAAAGTCTTTCACACATTAAGACTCAAATACTCTGCTCATTCTTACACTATTTTTCATTCATTCACTAATATCCTTAAAGGACTAACATTGCATATGAAAGCTTTTTTCAATGTGAATAAATCCAATTCCACTACTCTTACCAAATATTTCTAGTTTATGAAGTAGGAGTCATTTGTGTGGAGGATGTACTCTATCTATTTCCGCTTGTGATATACATACGGGAATGTATCCAACTAAGGAAATGATAGAGTCGTATACAAATTTAGAATTTTATTTTTTGTAGAAGTTAATTACGTAGGGTCTACTCAAATATTATATTTTTGAAAGAGGGGTCTATTAGACATAAAAAATAAATACCTTATAACAAACACCATATATAAAATACATATTAATTAGTCTTTTATCAAAACTATATTAAGATACTGTGTGCGTGTTGCTCTCTGTATCCAAATAATGTGTCTGTTTTTGAATTTCCATGTGAGAAATTCTTTATTATCTATCCACAAGTGACACACGTTTATCCACTAGAGTAGAGACATGTTGCGTGTACAAATAAATAAATATGTATTTTAAGTAAGATTTAGGTTGTTTCGAAAAGATTGCAAATAACTTATTCACTCACAATCAATTACGTAAAGTTTACGTCGTTGTTTTTAATTGGTTGAGATAATTTGCCTTCAATTTTTCAAAGGTGGCATATAATTTATCATAATATATGATTTGTAAAAAAATAAAAGAAATTTGCGGAAACAAAAAACAAACCTTGCAAGGGAAGGTAACCTTTGGTTTGAAGATGAGCACAGACATGATAAGTGAGTATATTAGCAGCACTTGTTGTTCGGAAGACTATGCTTGGTAGCTTTAATTCCTTGGCCAAAGAATCAATGAAGTGAAAAAATCCATCATAGATGATACAAGCAATTTTTTCATCAAGCTTTTCTAATTTGGCCATATGATGAACTAAGGTCTCCTTAAGTGGAGATACACAATTGGTATTTAGAGATGAAGCAATATCTACAACATTCTTGGATGTGATTTGAGTCTTAGATAAACCATCAAAGAAGGGTAGAAAACGGAAATTGGGATGATTAGAAGGATTAGGTGAGTTGAAATGGGTGTGTGCTATGGTGATGGAGAAGCCTTTTGAATGAAGGATTGTGGCTAGTTGAAGCATAGGAGTTATGTGGCCTTTTAATGGCGGTGGTATTAGAACCAAATGAAGGCTAGTTTGGTTTTCCATCAATCTTTTGGTAACAGGTTTGTGGGTCATTGGTTACTTAAATAAATGTATTTTTTGGTTGTTATTATTATATTTCAAAAATTATTTGAAATGGTTGCTTGTCTCTTGTTTTGCTTTAACCATGTGTAACTTACTCATGCTCACCCTCACTTTTTTCAACAAGTAATGTTTATTTTCTCAACAGTGACATTTATTATTTTCTCCTATAGTAATGCTTAACTTTCTATTTATTAGACCACAAATATTATATATATATATATATAATTCTCTTTCATCATTTATTTTTCATTTGACTTTTCATCTTCTTCATTGTGTCAACTACTTTCATTCATTAAAATTTTTTTAGACATTCTGAAAATTTTGACATAAAATTTAAATGACTAGTTTTAGTTTCTCGCGTCATGTGTCGTCTATTCGTTTTTATTAATGTATAGACGGGTTAAAATATAAAAGACGTATATGTTAATTTTTATTTTAATTTATATTATATATAAAATAATTAAAAAAATAATAGAATAAAACAGATATGTAAACACGATATAGTAGATAATAAAAGAGAAATTGAAATTAAAACAAAAATTAAAGAGGACAAATTGAAACAAAAATAGACAACAACAAAATTAAAATTTGTTTTAATATATTTATAAATAGTATATATTTAAAAGGGGAAATGAACCCTTTTGATATCACGAATGATATTTTTAAGAGTCAATACTGAAACTACAATTCTTTTCATTTTCAAAAGCTTTACATTTAAAAACTAATCCATTTTCTAATGTTTAATTATAGTATCACGCTTGAAAAAAAAATACACTAATCAATTCTAATAAAATTAAACAACATGAACTTAAGTTTAAATAAAATTGAGAATAAAATCCAAAAATTAATTATTAGTTTTACCATTTCCCTTTCTTAAAGAAAAAAAAAGGTACAATTACATAGTTAATCTACACTAATAGAAAGAACTAACTGATATTTAGAGTTTAATTATTGATATCGACAAAGTTAAACACTTCTAGAAACACTTCATTTTTCTGCGGACTTAAGTTAAAAATTCGTAGACAATAGGTATCATGCGGTTTTTCCTATCATTACGGGTTCCCAGCTATAACTCTCATTTCTTATCATATCCTTAGGGTTAGAAATTTTCATCTCAAATTTTTGCTAGTTTCCCGCCTAAGGGCTACTCATCTCCTCTGAGGTGGATGATACTTTTCCTTTCTCAATCCTACGGTGTTCTCATCGGAAGTCCAGTTCACCTGTTTTCCATGGCGTATCAAAGGAGGCAATTCACTCAGATCAGATTAGTCACTTGATTTCAATAGATAAATGGAAGAATATCCAGTTATCTAAGGAAGAAGAAGAGAGAATAGTTGCAGAAGCCGAAGAAGTCTGTGAAGGAGAGTTATTCCAACGAACACTTACAGGAAAGCTTTGGACTGATAATAGTTTAAACACGAGAGCTTTTATCAGAACGATAATAGGAGCGTGGAAGCTAAGTGTGTAACACCCCTTTTAACTATTTAGTCTTTTTGGCGTTATTTCTACGTTGGTGTGTCCTTGTGGAGGTGTGTCTGAGTGCGTTGGTGGATGCCCTTAGACTGTAAGAGTTATTTTAATAACGATTGGAGTTTAATATTAATGTAATATAATTAATATTAGTGATAATTTAATAATCAATAGTAATATTGTTATTATTATTATTATTATTATTATTATTATTATTATTATTATTATTATTATTATTATTATTATTATTATTATTATTATTATTGGAGTAAATATAAAAGAGGGATTTTGGGAGAAAGAGGAAACACGTTAAACTGCTCCGGACCAAAATCAAAGGAAACGAGATCGTGACCAAGAGAAATTGAGAAGAGGAGAATTAACCACCGGAGAGAATTCAAGGTAGTTGCAGAAGAGTCGCCGGAGAGCTAACAGGAACCGGAAGCGTAGAGTTGACCTCAATTCCAAAGGTAAGGGTGGGGTTCAATTCTATAACCGTGGGTATGATCAATTTCATGTAGGGAATTGAATCATGGGGTTAGTTCCCGTAGGTTGAAGAAATATTAAGGGTTAATGTTTATCTGTGCCTGAGAAATACTAAGGGTTAATGTCTGTCTGTGTATGAATGAGTGTGTTATGTCATTAGTTTTAGGGAAAATTGGGAAACGGTGCCGACACGTGCTATTTTCCCATTTATTAAGAAGGTGTTGTTATTATGTCCCTATTTAATTAAATTAGCAGTTGTAGTTATATTACCCATATGAAAGTGTATGAAAATGTGTTGAGTTCTTATTTGTAGTAATGATGTTGTTAGTTGTTCTCTGACATGAAAATACTGTTGAGTTCTCAATTGTAGAGACGATGTTGTTTTTAATTGTTTTCTGCGAAAATGTGTTAGAGTCTTATTCGTAGGAACGATACTGTTGGTAGTTCTCTGATATGAACAGGTTGTAATGGTGAGTCCATAATATATGTGAAATGTGATGTTCTGTTATGGATAATTGGTTGTAGGCTTGATGCCTTATTGCACGGTTGTTGCACAGTTGTTGTTGTTGTTGGGTTATAGTCCATAATAGTTTCATCTCATAGCATATCATTTGGCCTGGATTGGCGACGGTTGTGTCTTTAAAGACAAAATAAAATGATTGTGGAGTGAGTCTCCCGGATAATTGTGGAGTGAGTCTCCCGGATAATTGTGGAGTGAGTCTCCCGAATGATTGTGGAGTGAGTCTCCCGAATAATTATGGAGTGTTATCTCCCAAAATGGTACCACATGCATATGCACAGTTGAGTCGCATTGTTGAGTTGCGTTGTTGAGTTGATTTGATGAGTTGCTGAGTTATGATGATAATTGTTGTGGATAGGAATAATGAATTATTGCAGTTTAATTATTACTAATATTTATGCGAACTGCTAGAATTATAATGCTGTGATAATATTCTGACATGACTTTTATCATGCCTTATGTTATATTGTTGATATCTCACCCCCTTACGTTGTATGTTACCTCCGTTGGTGGTAATTTGCAGGTAACTCGGAATAAAGTGTCGCTTCATGTTTAAGGTCGTTGGTCGCTCTGATACGTAGCACTCTGGGGGGGATGAACGATTAATGTTATTGTTTTAATTGAATTCCTTGTTTCTGAATTTTATTAAGTACTATGGCAAATAGATTGGTTGTTTCTGATGATGTCAAATGTTGCTTGGATGCATAGTTGTTTTAGTGAATTGATGCAAGATAATTACTTGCTGAATTTTAATGGAATTTAATTATTATGAATCGTTGGAAGTGTATTATAACATGTCGTTTTATGATTAAAATGTTAAACAAATTATCGTTGTTTGTTCATCCGAATTTTGTGCTACGTATGTTAGTAAATGATCTTTTGCAGGTATATGTGTTTTGGTTAAGTGTAGAATGTGACACCCTGATGCATCTGAGAATTTGGGAGTGTGACGGTCGTCACAGCTCCATGACGCTCGTCATGACCGTGACGATCGTGACATACATGACGGTTGTCATGAAACCTTATCTGCTGCACTCTGAATTGTTTAGAGTGGGGTGTTACAATTGGTATCAGAGCAGGTCCGTCCGTCCGGCCAAGTTGTTTAATGTTGTGTATTCCTTGGTATGCGACATGTGTGTGAAAACACTGTCGGTACATGTTTTGTTGTGGAACCTTTGTCTGCAGGAGTGAGAATGATTCAAGTGGGGGAGAAGCTTGTGCTTCTCCAGGATGCTGGAAGTGTGGAGTTGTAGCTCGGTGTATGGTTGAACGCTCTTATAGTTTGTGGACAGAGTCATGTTAGATGGGATATGCGTGTCTTGCAAGCTTGGATGGCGTGAGCAGTGAATTGTCTTGAGTTAAGCTAAGTGCTTAAGAATGGTTTTGATGAGTCGGTACAGGAGGGTGCTGAGGTGTTTAATTTTGATAGGAATTTTTGAATTATAATGAAAGCGGGAAGTTGGCGATTGCCGATTAATTGTGGTTGGCTGGAAGTTTTCTGAAGAGATAAGTGGTGTACGGCCAGGACGTGAAGTGGAGTTGTGACCGACTTAGATACGAAAACTAGTCCGAGAGTGAGAGCTCTGTATTTTATATCTGTTTTGATGGTCAATGGATTAAACTAATTAAGTAGTGTTGAGAATTGGGTCTGGCGTGTGTGCTAAGGAAACAGAGTGTGAGGTTGAGTATATAAAAGGTGGATAGTGACTTCTGATGATTAGTAAAGAAAGTAAGATGTGGAATGAAATATTGGTATAATTAGACCTTTAAATATTCCAAGAGTTGAAGATGTGTCGAATGACCTTCTAAGTGTGCAATTGTTGTCGTACGTCGAATTCTGAGATTGCAGCTTGTTACGGAATCGATGTTTTTACGGAAAAAAGTCGGAATAGATTACGCAGTTGTGTCGGGTAATGTTAGGTCGTGATCGAGTAGGCTTGTTTTTATCGAATTTGATTGATTTTTGTAAGTTTTTGCATTTTGGAGATTTGAGGGTTTAAGATTCGGATTGGAATCGAAAGTCGTAGATTTCATGTTTGATGGTTCTAAATCTCTAATATATGTTTGGTATGAAGAAGTATGTGGTTGTTTCGAAGAAAATAATTGAATCGGTCGGATTTTTGGGCGAAAATGCTCAAACCCGTAGCAGCCTTTATGCAGAAAAATTCTGTTTTGGAGAAACTTCGAAAAGTCATATCTCTTGATCTGTAAGTCGGTTTTAGTCCCCTTTTGAAGCGTTGGAAAGCTAACGAGATGCTCTTTCTAGGAAAAATTGTTTTGAGGCCTGTACCTGGTTCAATTATAGCAGAAAATTGAAAACGTATCGTGTGCTGATTTTTGCCGAACCCGACGGGACCATTTGTTGTGTTTTGTGATGCCTTGTTGATATGATGGGGAGATACGCTAAGTGAAACTTCAGCGAGTTTTGGTTATGCTTTAAGGGAACTTGAAGTACATAAGAGGAATCATCTGATAAGTGATTTAGAGTTGGTTGTTGTTGTGGTTGTGCCGGAGTTGG